AATACTTATAGCTATAATGTTAATATATGTCTATTTCTAATATCTATCAGGTAAACATTGCGGTTCATCAGTTCAATTGGAGTACATATAGTTAAATTATATGCGGAACAATTACTAAATACATTCTATATAATCGTACTCTAAAAGTTGTTTTTTATTCCCTAGTGTACACTAATCATTATGTTTCTAATTTTATTCTATATAACATGACGTTATAGTTTGTCTTGAGACAACAAATATATTTTCATTTCCGTTTTGAATTTCTTTTTTGTACACGAATCTTTTATTTTTTTTTGGTATTCCATTCCATATTTCTGTTCCCATATATTTTATTGAAAATTTTCCATAATTTGTTCTATTGCCTTTTTTATGGATCAAATTTGTACTTCTTGTATTATGCTTATGAATTTCGCTATTCAAAGTGAAATAGTTGTCAAAAAAGGTAGGTAAATTTCCTTTTGCGTAATCGTACATAAAAAGGCTAATGCATAGTTTGTTATGTTATAGTAATGCTAGCATTGTTTGTATCTGGCAAGGATTCCAAAAAGAAATTGTTGAACGATATAATTTCGCTAACGGTCGTGTGTGTCGGACGTCGACGCGATGGGAAATGAATATTAATGTAACATTTATGGCTTATATAATTGAAATGTACGGTTTATGTTATGCACAAAATAAGGATAAAATTAAAAGAACACTTTTAGAATGGGGGGTATTTATGGATGATAGTATAATACCCCTGCTTATATATACTCATGTTTATAAATGTAGCATAGACGTATGTGATCATTATACATTATACGAAAGAAGAGAAACTTACGTATCGCAACCAGCTTTAAAATATGACTATTCATTCGACTGAACGTTGGTATGGATTGGCGGAAGTTAAAAGTAGCCTTATAAGAGAGAAATTTGATGAAGAATTAAACAGATATATAGCAAGATATTCTTATGAAATTAGCGATATTTTTAAACGACATGATATTTTTAAAGAAGGATTGTGTGATTTGATGATTGTTTTGTTAGATGACGACACTAATTTTGACAATATTGCAGGTTGTTTTAGATTGTTAACTATAGCATATTTGCTTGTGACCATATATGGCCGTATTGATTTTTCATGTGCTGAATATAAATATGTTTTTTTGAAAAAAATAACCGATATCTATAATAAAGCGTGTGACCATATTCAGAGTGTTATTGCAAAGGAATGTTTATTGAACGCCGCTTTGTTTGTGGGCGCATTATTTGCCATCTATAAAACGTTTATGTAAGAAGACAATTTTATTTCATTTCCCACAAGATGGCACAACCTCAGCACGAAGTAAGCTTAGTAGAAGTCTATGAAAAACGTAATGCTACTCACATTACGGAATTAGGTGCTTATGAAAATAGAACTAAAAAATTGTTGTGGTATGAGCGATGGAACGAAAAATGTTGTATCGCTTCAGTATTACCCACACAAGGGGGTGATAAAAATTTGTATAAAATGAAATTTTCTATGACCCATGAAGAGCTACGAAATGTCCATGATTGCATAAAGAAGTCGAAAAAAGGGGGCAATCATTACCTCGTCATATCGGAAACCGAAGATTATCAGAAGAATCTTGTTCGTTTGGTATTGAAAGATAGCAAATTTCAAGGTCTGGTATTGTGTCGACTAAATGCCGTCAAACCCTTAGATGTATGTGTCGGTACTGTTCCCGAAGGTGATGAAGATCTCATTCCAACCAGTGACCCCGTTGAAACACCGACCGCAGCCGAAGAATTGGACTGGGTCGAAGCTTGGGGGAAATGTTATATCTCCAAAAATGAAAATTGGCAATATGTTGCCAAAAAAATCAACGAGTTTTTAATCGATGTTCAACACGAGATGGATGTTGATGATGAATCGACTATTCCCGCAACCCCACCGTCAAGCCTGAAGGTGACAATTCGGAATGATGCATCTACCTCATCAGCACCGCCACCACCATCGAAGTCTCTTGCAAAAACCCCTGCTAAAACAGTCAACAAGGGCAATAAGCGTAAACGCATCGTGATTGAGCAGGAACCCGACGAGGTAAACTATGGTAAATGGTATTATGATATAAAACGGTTAGGTGCCAAACTTAATTTTTAAACGTACATGAGTGTTGTTGTTAGGCATGTGCTAAAGTATATGATATGTAATGATGTAACATTTGAAAATGCTTTACATGTGTACAATACTAAAGGTGAATATAATATATTGAGGGACGTTCAAGTTGGTGTGGCAATGGAAGAGACAAAAAACAGAATTATTAGTATAGCTAGATATTCGGAAATGTCCATACACGATCTTGTGGATACTATTCTTTCATGATGTTATTTTTTTTTTAGTATCGAAAAGCGGTTTCGGTTATTATAGCCGTTATGCATCGTGAAAAGCTTAGCTCTGCAAAAGAAGCTGTATTGCTATACAAGAATGAAATGAATGAAGAGTATCCACATGATTATCTAGATATAATAAAAGACGAGAATGTAGATGAGATAAATGAGATGTATGCTACGATGATTGCTAAAAATATGTTATATTAATTTTTTTAGTAATATCATGGGCAAAAAGAGACAATTACGACGAAGTACAAACAATAAAGAAGTAATTAAAAAACATCGCGTTTATTAAAACACGAAAGATTGAATGAAAAACAAAAAGAGGCATATACATTACATAATAGAAAATTAACAAAATATAAACGTTTAAGTATTAACATTTATAGACGTAACGCACAATGGAGTATTGATTTAGCAGACTTAAATAATTTGTCAAGATTTAATAATCAGTATCGTTATTTACTTGTATGTGTTGATATTTATTCACGTTATGCATTTGTTCGACCGTTGAAAACAAAAACGGCAAGAAATGTCGCCAATAAATTTGAAGATACTCTCTTAAAAGACAAAGAAATACCGTTAAAAATTCAGAGTGATGAAGGTACAGAATTTTCGCTGCTAAAAAGAGATCTATCTAAAAAATATGGTTTTACATTATTTCATACTTATAATCGAGAAACTAAAGCTGTTCACGCCGAACGATTTATTGAAACTATTAAGCAAAGTATCAACCGATCATTGACAAGTCTCGATCACGGTTACAATTATATTCAAAATTTGCCGTTAATTGTTGCACGATATAATGAATCGCGGCATAGGGGATTATATAATTTAACCCCGTTTGATGTGTATAAGAGGGGCAGGGAACCCAGTGCTTTTCAGAGGATAAAAACTCTGCTTACCAATAGTACGGTCACATTGCAACTTCTGAAAGAGGGAGATATTGTTCGCGTTGCCAGAATTAAAAATAGTGTTTTTGAAAAATCCAGTTTAAGGCGGTGGGTGAAAGAAAAATTCCGTATTAAAAGGGTCTACATAACGGATCCCGTAACGTATTCGCTTGAAGATTTGAACCGTGAGGAAATCAAGGGTATATTTTATCGTAGTGAATTACAGACAATATGAATGTACAGATTGTTAGTAATGCTCGAAATCATGTCGGCGGTACAAATTATACCAACGAATTTGTAATGCCCTTACCCACGATGTTGGATGGCGAAAATAAGGAGTTATATATATATGTGTTTTAAATTTGTCATATCCGTTGACTATTGAAAATGTTCTAAAAAAAACATGTGGTGTTATGATTAAACTTGTTTTCCCAACTACGTCCGATTCGGGTATTGAGGTTAAATTCAAAACGGATATGATGTATTTACCCTCGGGTTATTACACGCTGGAGAAACTTATAAGTACTCTAAACGCGTATGTTTCTGAATACGATGTACGTTTTACGATATTAAATAGCGGTAGAATTGGTGTAACTTACAGTATTGAAAGAGAATATTGGTATTCAGATGTTCATATAAAAAAAGCTACGTCCGACGCACCGGTACAAGTTTTTCAAACCTTTACACAAAATACGGATGAGGGTAATGAATTTGAAATGGTGTTTACAGAAACTCTAGAATATATGTTGGGTTTAAGAAAGATAATAGTACATCCCAGTGTCGAGAAAACAAAAGAAGATTTCAATGCGGGAGCATTTTTTTTCGATAATGCAATAAAACCACCACATGAATGGTATCATTTTATGAATAAAGCTAACAAAAAAGGTGATAATAATTTTGCTTGTTCTTTTATGGCTGAAGCATTGCCCGATATATCAAATGGGGTAGATAAAATGTTTATATATTGTGACCAAGTGGAAATGTCAATTGTGGGTGATACATATGCGTCATTACTTGCAATTGTACCCTTAAAAGGAGAAGACCGAGGCAGTGGTGCACTATGTGTATACACACCGCCGGATACACGACGTAGATTAATCAAAAGTAAAATTGATCAATTTAAAATCGGTATTTATGATACAACGCATACACTGATACCATTCAGTAGTGGTACTATTAACATTGAGTGTATCATAGAGTGAAATAAAAATGTTAAAAATTGAACTTGAAGTTAAGGATGATCGTCCCAAAGAACTTACACCTATTAACTATGAATATACATCTGAAGTCATTGCAAATGCCACTAATAAAGAAATGTATTATACTATGGCCGATGCTTCGGGTTTATTAGGTGGTTTTAAATTATATGTTGCTCGAAAAATGATGGTAACCAATAAACTAACGGGTACAGAAATAAAAGTAAACGGTGGTACATTTTATGATGGAAAAGATTATGGAGCCGCAATCCGTTTTGGAAAACAATGTCATTATTATACTTTAAAAAGAATTCTTTTATTTGAACGTTTTGAACAGATTTCAAATAATCGAATAATAATTCCATTATCCAACCAAACAGTTAAAACGGAAATACCGCAATTTCTACTAAATATAAAAAATGTTGCCGATTTAGATGAGAAAGTAAAATTTATCTTCGAACGTACTCCAGGGTATGAGGGTGAAAATTTCACCTTAGCAACGGGTAAACCACACAGATCAAAATTACAAATCATTTTAAATGTATTTAGTGAAGATTAAAATATATAAGATATTGAGGAAAAATTTTAAATAACTCATTTACGATGGAACAAGCGGACTATGTACAAGTACTAAAGGGTAAGGGTGTAAGATATAAAAAAACATCCTTATATATGCTACCCGGTAAAGGGGCTATGGTTGAAGAACGTGCAGCAAGTAAAATTTGTGCTCCACCTCAATTGAATCCGCAATACGCTACAAATTCAAAAATACCAAGGGTAGGGAAAATAACGCCAAGAGCACCTAAACAACAACAACAACGACAATACCCCCCCCCCCCCGAAATATTAAAATTAATTTATGGCCAATAATAAATGAAGAACGTTGTATAGAAAAAAAAGAGGTAAAAAAGGAAAGAGAAAACAAATAGGGGGTTTCGGTCCAGCAGCCGGGATCGCGTTGGGTATGGCGTTACCCATGTTATTAAATACGGGAACAAGTGTAGTTGGTAGTATATTTGGTAAAAAACCTGCTCAAAAACCAACTCAAAGTGTAAATCAACGAGGTCCTCAAACTTATCGACCCCCTGCACAACCCTCATGGATGGATGATGAAAGACCTAGACGTAGACGACATAGACCACAATAATATGATGACTATTAAAATATTGTTTTTTGTAATAAATTGTATTTGATTAAAATATTTGTAATAAAATGTGTACGCATATTCTTTTTTTAAAAACAAGTGTTTTACTAAATAGTTTCATTATTTCATTGATCATCATCAAGATGAAACGTGCTAGATCATCTCCTGAAGCGGAACCCATTGAAGAACATGATAGTGGTTTTGTGGGTCCTATGACCCTATTTGATAATTTCCACATAATGATACATTTGTGGAAACATGTAATTTAGAATTATTAGCTAATCCGTCCACAGAGACTGCAGAAATTTACACGTTTATGCATAATCGGCAGGATTATGGTGTCATCGATACAAATGATGCAAAATTATCTGCAAAATTACATTTGATTACTACAGGAACTGGTGCGGTACCAGGCAATGATTGAAATGTTTGCGTAAATATGGCACCTTTACGATATGGATGGAAAACCAAAGCAGTGTTCCTAAATAATCAATTAATTACACCGCAATCGAGTAAAGAAAATGAGCTTGAATATATTCATGATTTAATGACCACCGTCCCGTCCTGTCCGATTATAAAGATGATATTAATATTAATCTAATGATACGGGATACGGCTGGTAATATGGATACAGTAAATGATCTACACGATGGGGGTGGTAATTTACGAAATCTAGGCGCTCGAAAAAGATATGTAAAAATATCTAGAGCGCTACAATTCGAGTGTATTGATAAAATTGATTTATTGGGACGTATTAAACGTTATGTACCTACATCATTTGATATTAAATTGGTCCTAACACGTTTAGAAAAAAACAAAATGCTGTTTGGTACAGAGGCTCATTGTCAAGCCGTAGATCTTCGTCTTGGAGATTTTCAATTAAATGCCCCCATTTTAAAACCAAATGCTCAATTATCTGCGGCAATCAACGATTTGATGATTCAAAAAGGTGAAGAATGTCGATTTTATCGTATTTCTCATCGTTATGTTGCAATACCTGTCCCAGTAAATAGCCGTCATATTCAACACAAAGATATATTTAATGGAGCTCGTCCTACACGACTTATAGTTAAAGTTGTCGGACAAGATCGTTACAACGGCTCACATGAGTTATCCCCATTTTCTATGCCCTTTCCCGATATCGTTCGTTTGTCAGTTAGTATTAATGAAGCCGAAATACCGCCGGTTATTCATTCTTCAAAGGAGGCTTATATTAATTTACGTCAGCTTTTGGATCGACGCCATAGTGAAATGCCTTTTACGTATGATCAATATGTCTCTGATTACGGTATGATTGTCACCGATCTATCACCAAATCGCGATGGTTTTTCTCAAGTTTTACCCAATTCGACAAGTGGAAATGTGGGTATAAAAATTGATTTCCGAGTTGATACCCAAGCAGCGCAACAACTTATTTGTATTGGAGAGTTTAGAAATCAATTAAGTGTGGGTTATGGTACACAAGCACGTTTAAAATATGACATTTAAAGATTATATGATTATTACCCGTGTGACAATGGCTAAACAACGGTGTCGTGCTTGTCGAAGAAAAACAAAAAGAAAACAAACAGGCGGTTTATGGGATGTTTTTAATCGGCAATTAGTTGCTAAAAAAAAAGACATAAAAAACCTGCAGTAATACATTCGGGTGGTGCAAAACGTTATCCACGTCAAAAAGGCGGGTGGGCTGGTGTTAATTTTGAGAAACATGCAAACAAAAGTGCCGATAAAATGATTAATTGGGCAAAAGGTTTTTAGAACATGCATAGTATAAACGTCTATTAAAATAACAATCACTATTTCATTACGCCCAAACATTATACAAAGAAGGAGGGTTTAAAAGCGGGACCGCGTAAAAAAGCTGAATCTTTTGTTGCACGGCCCTGACCTCCAAACGCAAAGATTATTAGCGGAAAAGGTGTTAGTATTCAAACTGTTCACATTCACAGCGTAATTTCAAAATATGGCTGAGTTATGTAATGAAGATTTGACGAATACTGTAGAAACCAAGCCCGAAATAATTGAAAATGATTTACCTGAAAATGTTGAATTAACGGGGTATGATGATGATGATGATCATGATGATGACGATGATAATAATGATGGCGATAATGATGATGAATTAAACGCTATTGATAATAGTGATGTTGTTGATAATATGCGGATATATGAAAACATAGAGAGTAAAAATGAAAATATGGATTTTAATAATTTCGAAGAAGATACTGATACTGCGGGGTTAGATGAACAAACAATACAGTCATTTTTAAAGCAATTAATTCAATTACAAAATCAAACAATTATCAAGAAAAAAGAAAGCCGTCTCATCCCTAGCATATCTAATTTTATGAAATTAGATTTAGATAAAAAAAGTGAACGAATTACACCAACTATTACTAGACATTATTACACATATGTGATTTAATTGTACATGATAAACTTGATATTAAAGTGGACCACGGCAATAGAAATGTTATGGAATATATTACTAGCAAAGATTGTCCAAAGAAAGATATAAAATTTACATTTGTTGAAGATATGTGCATTTGTTGAAGATATATGCGAAGATATGCGGGCAACGACGTTATTAATTTTTTAAGAAAAACGGATAATTATCGTCAATCTCTAGGTCTAGATAAATCTGAGGAAGATGATGTACCGCCCGCTGCCGGACCCCCACCGGCAACTGCCAGACCCTCAGGGGCAAACCATAAACCGGGTACGGTGGCTTCTTCGACAGCAAAAATCGAGGAACATTTACGTAAGAATGGTGTGAAACCCATTGCGGACGGGGTTAAATTTAAAGACGGTCAAATTGGTGTTTCCTATAATGATATGATGGAGGATTTAACAAGAAATTATGTTCAAACGCAACCTAATTTAGATCCGAAAGGAAGATATAAAGTATTATTATTATTGAAACAAACAAATATGCCAATTTCCTTTATAAGGAATAAAAAGATTAAAGAGGAGTATAAAACACTTTTGGCTCAGGGGCATATGACACCCCTACGCCCCATCGCAAAACGTCGACTACCAACGCCAGATAAAACACCTATAAAACCATTAAGACGTCCAAGAGATTATCTTTATAAATAATTATGGTATCTTTAACCTGTTTCATAAGCAAATTTTTAGATACCGATGATATTGATAAGTTGGCAGGTGAAAACCCTATTATTAAACCGTATTATCTGGGCTGTTCTCCTGCTGATATACGTCCAAAGGATGTCAAAGATAAATGTTGTTGGGTATGGAATACGGATGACAATAATAAACCTGGTGTTCATTGGATCTGTATTGTTAAAGATAACAAAAATATTATATTTTTTGCCAGTTTTGGTAAGACACCTGGTTTTTTTGGACGGAAATACTGGTTAGATTACTTTCGTAGTCTACGTTGCAATTTTTCTGTTTATATGCAAATAGCGCGTCAATCATATATTAGCAAAACATGTGGCGCATGGTGTTTATTATTTTTACATAGTTTTTATCGTGGCGATAATGTAATTGATCTTTTTTCTGTCAAACAAAATGAACTTTTAGATAATGAAGAAAAAGTACAACAATTAGTCTATAAACAATATCCCAATATGATTAATGTTTATAAGCGTAAGTGTATCAAGGCCAAGGGTCAAATTTGTAAATCATACTTAGAAGCATTTCAACAATACATGTAATTTTTTAATAAAACTTTTAATAATATTTTGTAATTATACAAATTGTTTTTCTAAATCATAAATTATTGTACGTTCATCGGGTAATATACCTGTGCGAACACGTGTATTGGCTGGAGCGTGGGGGCAACCATCAAACAACACATATTGTTTCTTTCCAACATCTGCCAATACTTTGCGTAGAGTAGGTAATCGAATACCCTTATTTATAGCAATCAATTCGATATCTCGACTATCTGTATGACTATTAAAAACAAGATGATACATGCTGTTTATCCGCATATTTCGTAATTTACCATTTCCATAATTTAAATTTTGACATACAAAAAACACAGAGATATTTAAATGATGGCTGTCACGCGATGCTAGGTTGTTTAAATTATCGGTATTTTCTTTACTCGACATTGCCAAAACCATTAAATCATCCAAAATTAACAATGTACGTTCGCCAAGTAATGGTTTTATATTCTCTATAGTGGGTATACCCAGTCGTGTACAGTCGTAGAATTCACATACTTTAAGCGACGACGTTTTATAATTTCCATGAACAATTTCCTTAATTTCCTCATATATCGGTTGTTCTGCAGTGTATAAGTATAGTAATTTGTCTGGTGTAGGTATTATCAGTTTGTCAATGTCTTTAATTATTTCGACCATTAAATGTGTTTTACCCGATTGCGTAGGACCACATATCGTCATCATAAAAGGGTGGTAAAAGGGTAGCGTTACTTTATGGAAACAATCAAACTCTTTTATTTCCGTATTTTCATTCTTCTACAAGAAAAAAATAAAAACTATTTATAACCGAAAGGTGTGGTTGTAAAATCATTGTGCACGACACGTTTATCGAAGGTAAATTTAAATTTTTTCGTATTTTGTTTGACCGAAATGCTTTGACTATTTTCACGTACAAATTCACGATATGTTATCTCAATTTCTTTGGTTTTATCCCTTATACATTCATTAATGCTATCGAATGTTAGCAGTTGTTTTGTGTCTCCTTTTAATGTAAAACCCTTTACATGTACGATCTCATCCCTTTGCTTTGTTTCACTACCATCATCAGCATAACGCATATATACATTAGTACGATAAGAATAGGATTTTGGTCCTGCAGAACAAAATTGTTCTATCCATTTTTTACTCGTTTTCTTTTCAATTAATTCATCAGTCATTTGACCCATATAACCTCCTGTTTCCAAACATTTCCCGTTCACACGATCTTCGATAAAAATCACCAAATCAGTATCATAATATAAAACATTTTCGCCTAATTTATGCAAATATTTTAATAATCCTAAACGTGCATACGCGGTTACAAATGACGCTATAATCACATTACGGTTAGGTAAAGGTGTTAAACTAGCCGTCTTTCTATGTGTAGTTCTCGCTATGTTATCGCTAATAAAATCTAACGATGTTACTTCCACGGTACGATCATTTACTAAATCTAATAGATCATCCAGGGTCTCGACAAATGAAACTACTGTAACATCTTCATTTTGAGCCAATTTATCCCACAACGAGTTTAGTAAAGCTTTCATTACGGTTCTTTGTCCTGCATTATATTGCATCTTATCGCCCTCCAAAAGTACTCCTTCATGTTTTAAATAATCATCAATATACTCTTGTAACTTCGATTTTATCACTGTACCATCTTTATTTAAACAATTTTTGGGAATCCACTACTTTCTTGCTTAAGTTTTATAAAGGTATTAACATATTGATCAAATATTTTTTCACGTTTTTCATAATGATAAATTTCATAGACCACAAGAATTTGATAACCTAACTCAAGCGCTTTTTGAATTTCAACACTTGTCCACGTGCCGTATAGTGCACGTTGTTCGTCGTTATTATTACATGTATCCCGTTGTTGTTTCAATACACAAGTACGACACAAAGGAAATGTTAATTTTTCCGAACGAAAAGGTAACACCGGAAATAATAGATTCATTGGCGGTAGAATCTTGCATTTAATTAGACCGAATACAGAATATAAATCAATATCTTTACATTCTTCACCACGTAAAATAGTCGGGTGTTGCGTGGGATATTCAAATTTTTTCTGCACGTGGGGATAAAGAGAACACACGTCAAAATACATAGCTGGCAAGCACGTGCTACTAATATCATAATAAAGCACTGTGGGAGATGTCCGTCCGCCAAAAAGAGCATCACGCGGCTCTAAATGTAGATACTCAAGAAAAGAGTCTAAACGTAATTGTTTTAGACGATGTGGTGTCATATTACTTTCATTATGATAATCGCATTCCCATTTCTCAACAACTGTATAACCGACTTGTTGAAAATTTCTCGTGACTCTTTGCGTACTTGCAAATAGAATAAAAAATTTCTCACATACAACATTATTGTAAGCATCACCATCGTAACATCTATCACAACCGTGGTAAAAACAACCATGAAATTGGTAAATTGTTTTTGTTTCATCACAATGCCCGTCAACATAACGACCCATAATTTGAACTTCCCCACCCACACTAAGCTTACTAGCAAGTTGCATGTTGTTTTCACTCAATTCCCTTTCGATTTCTCGTAACCAACACAACGCAATAACACTTTGATTGACATTTTTCCCACCATACCCGCATGTCGGCACCTGACTAATCTGTTCTTCTTTCAAAAAATTTTTACGATATATCTTAAGAGCCAAACCCGCCACAGTATTACACGTGTGGTCATAAAAGGGTAATACACCCGTGATCTTAAAAATCAATCGTGCAAATATAATGCACCCCTGTCGCAATATATCAACATCCAAACAACAATAATAATAAATTGCTTCACAAAAAATATACGTTTTACTCTGTTGTTGTTATACCATTCGTCAAAAACATCTCGTTCCTTGGTACCCTCAATAGGTGGTTCAAAATAATCTAATCCCACCATGGGGCCGACATAATTTAAATCAGTATACAAATAGGGATGAAAACCCTTTGCCACATCCTTAATCCCCAACGCTTCGGGAAATTTACTTAAACGCATAGAGAGAAATAAATAACTATTGATTACTTTTAAATTACGTTCTTCCAATTCAATAGACATGACCTTACTACCATTCATTACAACATTAGGAACTATTTTACGACGAATTAACAATTCTCGCATTAAAAAGATACTATCAAAACGTCCTCGGTTGTGTGCTACCCATACACTATTTTTAGGTTGTTGCATCATAAAATCAACCAAATCCTCTGCAATACTTTCGTTATTTTTTTCAAACACATACTGTCTATATCCACAACAAGGTACTGACTCGACAGAAATATCCACATATGCTTCGGTGGGGTGGGGTAAAAAATGTTCGTAGTTTTTTACAAACGGTTTCTCATCACATGCATCGCACACTTTTTGAACAACGCAATAAAAAGGAATCCTGTAGATATCGTCTTCATCTACACGCGTTTCAAAATCATAAAAATATAATGTAGGCTGTGTTACATTTTTTTGTTCTTTTACCGGTTTAATATAACAATGATGATCCTTCTTCTTTAGCTTATTACAATGCAGACAAAACATCTCATCACATTTGTGTTGCGTGTATTTTTTATTTGAAATAAGCGTTTTACGCATCACGGATTTGTAACAAACAATACAAAAAAAACACGCTGACACGGTGTTTCCATAGTCAATTTACCATTCACAAATGTTTTAAACACTCTTTGTACTAAATGGTTACGAAAACAATCAGGATTGTAAAAAATAATATCGCACATAGTACACTGTTGTACAAAACCCGGCGTTTCAATACATTTTGTCGTATTAGCATAGCATCGATGACAGGTTAAAGACGCAATACAAACATGTGTATCTTTAATTTCAAAACGTCGAAAATAACGCATGCATGAAAAACAAAATTTTCCCAAATTTAAACGTGAAAATGTATACGGCGATGTCACAAGATCATAATGTTTTTCGTTTAACCAAAGAAAAATAACATCATTTGTAATACGGTGTAGACGTTGATTGTCATGTAGTCGCGAATCGTACACGATGCTATCAGCTTGATTTTTAGAAAAAACAACTAGGTCAAGTCCGTCCGGTTTTAAATACTTTTCATAAACATATTGAAGTTGTTTAATACGAACCGGTCCAACGGGTAGACAACTTGTCGTGTACACGTTTGTAATGTCTTCGTCAGTATATAGGTCGCTTAATGTCAAATTACTATTTCTCTTTAGTTTTTGTGCATTAGTATCGTTGCGTAGATAGGATTTACCCACTAAGAGTGCTAACGCCAAACAACTGTTTTTGACGTTTGCTTTACCAATCTGAAAAACACCATGACGCACTTCGCGACCATGTTTTAACGCCACGTCATTTTTTTTACCACTACCGGATTCCGTATCATTTTTGCCTAAATACTTATACATTCTACTTTGTTTTTTTCGTTTTTTTACATGTTGTTGACGTGACGTACGAGTATTCGGAAAAATATACAAACTAACAGTCGTATTCCAGCCATTATTGATAATCTCTTGTGCGTTACTTTGCATGTGTTTTTCAAAAATATTGAAAAACATGTCCGTTGTAAAATCCGTTACATTTAATACAGCTGTTGAAAAGGGTGTACGTGGGGCATTCGAGATAAAAAATCGTGCTTTGTCGGTATTCGATCCTGCATAATACATCATTGTATTAATTAAATAATCAAAGACACTACGTAAATTTACAAGAAAATCTGGTAATGAACGCATATGTTCACTACCCACATTTACATCAAATATATATTCCGTATAACCAAATCGTTCATGCGTACGTATTTGACGGACTGAAAAAGATGTTCGCGGTAAACTAATGTTTCTATGAGATCGAACCAGTGCTGCTAATTCTACAATGTCACGATCCTCAATGTTATAATTACGTTTTTCTCTATAAAGTGATTTTGTATTTTTTACCATATCTGCTAATTTACTTAGATTTTGTTTATTATTACGATCAACAACCATCTTAGCGATTTCTTCAATATTTTTCTCACGTTTCTCCCTATCAAATTCATTAAATAATTTTCTCACCAATTCGACTGTTTTTCTATCGACGACACCCCCATCATTTCCCTTTTGTCTTTTATCGACGACTTTTCCCTCGTCCCCTGCTTGTCTTTTATTACCCTTCGATGCCATTGTATACAACAACACCTTGTGGTTTTCATGGGTTCCTCTTCTACTTCTTGCTCAGCCCCGTCCTTAAAATCCAACGCAATATTATTACTTTTGCGAATTTGAACCATATTACAATTAAATGTTACCCAGGGTGTATCTTCACCGCCCTTAAAACATTTTTGACCCATTTTGAACACACGTGTCTAACGAGCAACATCAAATTGGAAAATGAGCAAATTTGCAATTCACATCTCAGTACATATAGAAAATGAATCATCAAAAAATGACGATGACCTTTATAAAATAGGTTATGAAGTGGAGGATAATGATAAATGTATAATTTTTACACCTACTATGTTTAAAGAAGCTTTTGAATGTTTTGCCAAAGATAAAGATTACATATATACATTGGCAACATCACATGTCCCGCCACATGTAGAATCTAAAATTAGAAATATTATAGCATACATTGAAAGACATTACGACAAATATATACAAGATATACTATTTATAATATCTATCAAAAAAAATCTCAATGACCAAATAAGGTGGTTCATTTTTCTAACTTCTTTTCTAGCATATATTTATATTTACATATTTGTCGTGCACCACATAAATATTCGTATGAAAAATCTGGTTTGTCATAATCCTTATAAAAATTTAACGCTTTAATATATGGTTTCATATATTTTATTTCATTAGTTGTTTTTTTCCCTCCAAATCCAAACGCTGTCTCTGAAGACTTTGTGTCGGCGTCATAACGTAAGCCGTAACATCCCGCTAATACATGTAGTCGCATTTGTAGTAATATAATAGGTTTTTTTGCGTTTATCAACACGTTCATATATATATCAACATTCGCAAACTTCTTTTCAACGCTAGTTATACTCATACGATTTTGAAATTGCAAAATACCGGTTGTTCTTTGCCATTTTTGATCAATTATACCCCAATTTGAGCTTGTCGGTATCGTCAAATAACGGTAATAACACAAATCATCAACTTCTAAAAATTCATTTAAAACATCTACAACTTTCTTTTCATCTTTAAATGTTTCAAAGTAATACGTTTTGGTTGATGTAGCCATTCCTTTTCACTCAATAATAGCGATTAAAATATCATTTGTAAATGATGAAATCAATCTTCTATCAGTTAATGAAAGTACAATATCCTCACGATGTCGCTCTTTTAAACGACACACATGGAAAAAATAAATGAATTTTAACAAATAATCCGTTGACCTTATATGGACAAACCCAAATATTTCATCAGAACTATAATATCGCAATACATATATATCGCCCACATTAAGACATATGTCTATTAAATTTTTTATCGTAAATGAATGCATCACTTCTTCTTCACAACATAGGTGAACATAAAAGTATCAACTAACAAACATGGTGACTCATCCTCATTATCAACAACTCCATAAAATGACTTATCCCTTAAACTATCAAAATCTGCATCAAGCACAAATCGATAAATGGGTATTCCCAAACTATTAAAACCGTCGCTATGTATATCCCTATGTGCGGGATACGGATGATGTTCAACACTTTGATCTAATAAGGATAAAAAATCCTCTACATATCTATAACATTGTTTACATACTAATATATGCGCTAAATATTTTCGAACGTTAAGACCTATTAATAATTTTAAATTATATTCTACAGCTGTCACACTCTCACCGTCCTCGTTTTCAGTTGTGACCCATTCTTCAGTGTAATAATGCAAAGTTTTATCACTCGCTTCTAGAGCAACGAGCATTTCTGCCACATTCAAATATAATCCCGTTTCAAAATACGTCATCAAATTTGTAAGCCCGATATACAACGTTGTACCGGCAAAGACCTCAATCTCTGGATTGTCGAGATTGCAAGGCCCGCAACCAACATGAAAAATTTTTTCATCATCATAATAATTGGGACGTAAATTTAACGACTGGCAGCGAACCAATTGAGTTTTTGAACGTAATAACACTTCACGACAACAAAATTCCTGCGGTAATAAAACAAACATACCGTCTCGTACTGCAAGTCGCGAGATCCATTCAATTGGGATACGATACATTATTTTTTCCGAATTGTTTAATGTATTGAGATCAACATCATCACCATCATCCATTGTAGCTATAGCCATTCGAGGTCCTTTTTCCTGTTCTGGGGTATTGGGATTATCACTTTTTATTTTTTACCTGCATCTTTCAGATCATCTATGGCAATAAAATCTCGTATATCGTTAAAACCACCTTTTAACCAACAATTATCAACAGCGGAATAATCTCGAATTTGAATTTCCTTCACCCCCATATTGGGTTTATACGTGCGTAAATACCGACATGTTGAATATAACTCCCACAATACGGGATTATAAGGTTGTTTCATTAAAAGATAACTCAAAGCTTCTATGCACCTTCCAGCCATTTTTCTATCAAGAAATATCTTAAACTGATGCTTCTTTTAAAATCGTCTGTACAAAATGTGCAAATACTTTCACTTCATGTTTTGAACAATGAAAATAATCTCCTAGGTGATACTGACAACATTCTTGTCTATGGCCATATTTGGTCAGTAAATTAGCATACTTTGGACATGACAATACCTCAAGATTAATACATCGTACACCCATATTATTTAACAAATTACGTTCAATATCGCCACCCTTATAAGCAACTAAATCTGCATTACGCATAAACTCATCTGTTAAAAAATCCATCGACTCTTCCAATGTATAAAAATCATCTGTCAATCGCGTGTTAATAATTGGTAAACCATGCACTTTATTAATTTGATAACGTATTGTATAATTCCTTTCATTAAACGGTACAAACGGCATATACACCTGAAACGATGAACATTCGCCAGTTTTAACTCTGTAAACAGATATCTCTCGAAGAAATGTTTTCTTTTTGTTTGTATACGCTTCACAGTCCATAACATGTGTAATACGTTGGGTAATTTCTTTTTTATAATAATCGATCATTTGTCTTTCTTCTACAGACAATTGATTATGTTTTCTTTGAAATAAGGCCTCCATCCCGACACACAGTCAAATATAAAACTAAAACTTTTTTTCAATAACTCTTTTATTATTTCATATCGATAATTAAATGTTCAACATATAAACGTGTAATATGCAAATTTGTTTTTTTACAAATACAATAATTATTTACTAATCGACACAAACATTGAGTATTATCAAGCCAATACATATTTTTTAACATTTCTCTTATTATACTTTGAAAACCATTTATAAAATCAGGTGATATTATTACACGAAACATACGTACTAAATCCCTCCGTATTTGCTCTATATGTTCCTTGTTATAAGTAAATCCTAATACCAATATTATCCCGAATATACCGTATAATATTTTCTACACGTGACATATAAACGTTATTTATGAAATCATTTACGATCACACTTTCAATACAAGCTTGTATACCCAGACATTGTACACCCATTGTATCATACATTACATAACCCTGAGAATTTATAGTCGGTATATATTTTATCTCATAATTAATATGTATATGTGTGAAACCATCTAAAGTTCTAAATGTCAATATATATACATATCCATGATATGTTCTATGTAATTCTGTAATATATAGCCAATACAACACATTGTGATACAAACAATCGTAGGCTTGAACTGTCATTTCATGCACATGAACTCCCAAAGGTTTAAATGTACAACGTTCCAAATATTTATTTAATTGCCAACCATATTTATCATGTGGTGGTAAAGTACACCTCATCACTCACCAATAACTTTGCGTCACGAAAATATAATTTTTTACACTTAATTATTTCATCTTTTGTAAAACTACCACAATAGCAAATTTGATCCTCCAAGGTACATTCACACTTTGATATCGTCCAATCTTGTACAGTTCTCACCAAAAATCGATGATAGATTAAAATTTGCACCAATCGTACAGACACTGCTATCCCGTGATTGTCTTCAAAATCTTCAGCTAATTCCGCGTAACGATCATCCCGATAATGTTCCCCAATATAATCAATCAAAGTATCTACTACACCGCGAACAAAATCCGCCGCTTCCGCTTGACTTAAACCAATATGTTCAACATAGTCCATATAAAAACCACGACTATTAAATGTTACATAGGGTAGATAGATAGCAGTTGATAAATCACCATTAAAAGATTCCGGATAAATACGATGATGTATTTCCAATTCGGCATAAATTCCCAACAACCAATGCGCCACACCAATCACTATACGTCGATCTCCATTAGAATCCCTTGTCACAGCTATAAGATAAATATAAAAACTAGGCATTTTTTTTCATAACACCGTCTACAATTATCGCTGGCCATAAACGACCTCCCGCCAGCTGTATTACATAATCTCTTCCACACCGTAAAAAAAATTCATAAAACTTTAAATCCTTTGCAATCGTACATATAACAGATAGAGGTTCATCATCCAGATAAGTGTCACAGGGTAATCCCACTTTAATTTCTTTCAAATTTGTTGCCTCAACATTCGTCATACTATAATTAAAAAAGATCTAACGTTGTAATACAGCTCTACCCTTAGAGTCCAATTCCAAAAGAAAATGGTCATTTTTTGTTTTATAAAAATCAATTTGTCTTTCTACCAATTGTTGAGAGACCAGTACACCAGTATGTTTTAAAATAGCTCTTACGACCGATGAACTCATACAACAACCCCCACTAAAAGTTTTACGTGTGACGTCATAACATTCTTCATGAAAAACACCACATAAACTACCCAACGCACCATCAAAAAAAAAATATCATAACGCCCCTCTCTCTCCCCAGTATTAAAAAATAAAGACAAATGTCTTATTATGGGGTCACGACCCATCGACCATAATACACAATTATCATCATCATAACTTGTTAAATAATTCTGAATGTTTGAATAGATATAACCATTGTGATATATATCTATATAATTTCTTGCATAGACATTCTCCAAATTTGTAAATATACGATTACAATATCAATCCAATACGTACCTTGTCATATTCTTGAGTACATATATAATATTGTGCTAATACTTCTGTCGGAGACTTTACCTCAGTCTATAGTTAAAATAGTAATAGAACACGTGAACTCCACGCGCGATAGCGTGATACATAGTTTTCCTTTAAAACAGGAATTTTTGTTATTGTGAGACTTTGACTGCGAAACCATTGTAAAAAATGTGATACGAGAGTGATTTGAGATATTATATATCAAAAATACAACTAGTGATTTGTTGGTGATACTCAAAGCAAAATTCCCAACACCTGGCACCCCCGATGCGAAGTTGAAGCCCAGAATATGTGAGTAAAACCTTTAAATTAGAATAATATAAGCGAAGGTTTAGAGTAAACAACATGCCGCCTAAACTCGAAGTTACGGCACTCGAGACGAAGATAACGCAACTAAAACGAGCGATTGGGAAGACCGAAACTATAGTAAACAATAGAAAAGAACAAGCAATCGTTAGACATGTGGATACTATTAAAGAAACTCTGTCCGAAATAAATAAATTGAGACGGGAAATCGAAGCGACAAAAATTTCCGAGGGTGTAAACGACGACGAAATTGACGAATGGAATAGCGAAATCGAAAGCGTAATGGAAAGCGGTGACGAAGCGATTGAAAAGTTGCAAGAATGGCTTAAAACAAAGGAATTCAGGTTAGAAGAGATTCAACACGAGCAAAAAGCTGAACGGGAAAAACAAGAGCAAGAAAAACGAATCGAATTTGAGCTTAAATTACACGAGGCGAAAATTAAAATGCAAGCGGAAGCGGAAGTGTCTGTTAAACCAACATCCGGGAAGGAAGAGGACGAAGTCAGCAAATTACAAGCGAAATTGCCTAAGCTTCAAATTTCGGAATTCAACGCAAGTTACAAAGATTGGCCAAGATTTTGGAACTTGTACTCGGAAACTATTCATAAATCAAGTATACCGGCTGTGAGTAAATTTTCTTACTTAAAGGAATTATTGTGCGAGAAAGCAAGAAAGACAATCGAAGCCTTGCCCCATACCGCAGAGGGCTATAACCGAGCTACTGCCATATTGAAAGACCGATTCGGGAAGGAATGTGAAATAGTCAAATGCTTTGTCAAGGAAATTATGGAATTGCCCCATATACCGACTGCAAATGTGAAGAAAATCCATGAGTTTCATGATAAATTGGCATATTGTGTGCAGTCACTCGAAACATTGAAGAAGCTAGACGCAGTGAATGGCACTGTTTCCATGACCTTGGAAAAGCTACCTGCGATCAGGGGAGATCTTGCCCGTAACGATACTAAATGGGAAGATTGGACATACATTCAATTAACTGAAGCTTTGCAATTCTGGACCAGGAGGAATCCACTTGACAGCCCCAAGCATGATGACACGCAAAAGAAACGAGAACAGCCCCGAGGATGTTTTCACACCCAGCAGAAAGGTGGTGCTCAACCTGGAACCCGAAAGGCTTGTGTGTATTGTGACAAAGAAGAGCATCGGTCGTCGGAATACAAATCGGTCACAACTGTTGGAGAACGCAGAAAAATCCTGGCGAGAAAGAAGCTTTGTTTCAATTGCACCGGTCCATCTCATCGAGCATCAGATTGCAGAAGTACCAGCACTTGCAAGAATTGTAAAAGACGACACCATACATCAATTTGTGATGTTCCCAACGACCCACCAAAACCTGAAGCAGGACTGACAGCGAGTAAAGAAGGTGAACAGGGGATTATATATCCTATTGTGCTTATTGAGATAGACGGTGTTAAAACCCATGCACTGTTGGACACTGGGTCTGGCAGTTCATACGCCTCTGCGAAACTGATAAGTGTACTGAAGAAGAAACCAAACAATGTGAAGACAAGAAGAATCGAAACGATGCTGGGTTCTACTACAACTAAAGTTGAGACTTATACAGCTAAACTGTCTTCTGTTGATGGGAAGTTTGTGAAGGAGATTGAGTTGTCGAAAGTCCATAAATCAGAAATCATGATGGTCAAGAACCCAAATTATGAAAGTCTACTTGCAAAGTACGATCATCTCAATGGAATCAAGATAGCAGACGGCGATGATAGAGAACAAATCCCAATCCATGTCGTACTAAGTGCCGGCGAGTATGCAGCAATCAAGACGTCAACGCCTCTAAGAATCGGATCCCCTGGGCAGCCTGTGGCCGAGAAAACACAACTGGGATGGACAATTATGTCGCCAGGCCAAGAGGATCAAGAGAGTCGAGTGTTTGTGACACAATCAACATTAATAGATTACGAACAGCTCTGTGCTTTAGACGTGCTAGGACTAGCAGATTCACATGAGAATGATCAGCAGGAGGTGTATGAAGAGTTTAAAGAGCAGCTGGAAAGAGACGATGCTGGGTGGTACGAAACAAAATTGCCATGGAAG